GTGTAGTGGTTTCAATATTAAAGAACAAGGTTCACTTAGGGCCTTTTTTGGCCCTGTGAATTTCAGAAAAACTGAAACTGCTTGGTTTTAATTGACAATGCGTTAATATCATTTAGACTTTTGATGACTGCGTATCTATCAAAAATGACGTAATTTTCTGGCTAGCCTATGCATTAAGACGTCATGAAATGCGTCATTTTCCTCGTATCCTGAAAATTTCTACAAAACAGCCAATTTTTAAAGCTATTTTTTGATATTTAATATAGGACGTAACCTCTGATCTTAAATATGCAAGTATCAAATGATAGAACTATTTCTGAGGATTACAAAACCTGTTTAATTTTTAGATCAGAGGATGCGCTCATATTATTTCTCTTCTTTCTTTTTAAAACTAAAACTTGCATCACTTTATTGCATCTCTTTCGCTGTTTTGAAATATGTTAGATTCCACCGGAAACAAAACGTCAATTCCGGTCTATTGTTCGGCAACAGTAAACGACTGAAGTCTAAAACTTTCAGGACTGATAGTCAGTCATCAGTTTATTTGAATCGTGAGAAAATCTTGTATCGCCGTTGCTTCCGGTCGTGACAGGAAGTGATGCAAAAAGGGAATTGTTAATGGTTAGCATGTTGGATTTTCAGGCTAACGACCAGGGTTAAATCTTCAGAGTGTCTGAATATCTTTTTTCACTTTTTCAGCTTGAGTTCTCTTTTTTTTCAGAATCGGACGGAAGACCTCTCATTGCTCGCAATGAGTTTCTAGTTATTATTAAGGTCTTCCGTCTTCACGGAAGACCTTATAGTGATTCTACTGTTTCTTATTATTATTATTAAGGTCTTCCGTTCCAGACGGAAGACCTTATAGTGATTGTTATGTTTATTATTATTATTATTTTCTCCTTTTTTTGTCGGCAGGATTTCTCAGAGATGACTGGATGGATTTTCCTGAAATTTTCAGGGTTGATAGAGAATGAAAATACTCCGAGGCGTTTTTTTCATTTTTTCAAAATTCACTTCCGGTCGTCAGATATGTCCGATTTCCGTTTTTTTTTCAAAAATATTTTTTCTGAGTGAGATCTCAGAAACGGTAAGAGATTAAGACACCAAACTTATACGAGTAATAGATCATGAAAAGTAGGCGAGCCCATTTGGGTTAAGCATGTCAGCCGTCACTTCCGGTCGTCACAGGAAGTGATCAAAGAAATCGAAAATTTGAGTATTTTACTTTTCCTTAAATATCTTTTATAGATAAAGTATTTGAAATAATTTTTAGATATGTTATTCAGACTGAAAATGTCTAGAGTAACGTCAAAAATCTTAGTAAAATTCACTTCCGGTCGCGTGTTTTTCCTGTCCTCAAAATGAGAAGTTATCTCAGCGAGATCTCGGAAACAACATGAGATTAAGACACCAAACTTATAGGAGTAATAGACCTTGAGAAGTAAGCAAAACACATAGGGTTAGACGCGTCAGCCGTCACTTCCGGTCCTCACAGGAAGTGATCAAAAAATCGAAAATTTCAACTTTCCTTTATAAAATTAAAACTTGCATCACTTTGTTGCATCTCTTTCGTGTTTTGAAATATGTGAGATTCCACCGGAAACAAAAACTGTAAACTTCCGGTTTCAATTCACTTCCGGTCGTGTGTTTTCCTGTCCCCAAAATTAGAATGTGTTCTCACAATTGCTCGGTAAGAGTAAAAGACTGAAGTCTAAAACCTTAAGGACTTATAGTCAGTCATCAGTTCATTTGCATCGTGTAAAAATCGTCTGTCGTCATTACTTCCGGTCGCGACAGGAAATGAAGCAAAAAGTATTTTTTAAAGTTATTTTGTTTCTACATCAGTTTTAGGCTTATACCGACGTTGGAAAAGACATGTTCATGCAAACAGGAAGTAGTATAACGAAAGACCTTCTCATTACTAGTAATGAGTTTCTAGTTTTGATCTATAATTCTGCTAAATTGTATACATAGGTCATCTCTAGAACAAATCTCAACTTCTGTTTGTATTCATGGGGAAGTCTGTCTTAGATGGAGGAGTTGGTAATGGACTTGAACTTGTTTTCTGTGCTGTGAATAGGAAATGGTCCATGCATAAGTATTCGTTAACTTGTTAAACTGTTCCTCATACACATAAATATTAGGTTTATAGATCTACTATTTTTTTGGAATATATAAATACAATGTCCATTTGTCAAATGTTAAATTGGTCAATGACTATAAGTGAATTGGTTTAATATAACAGCCATCTAATTTCTCTCCTTAAGGTGTACGGATTTTTCATTCATCATTTGGCACATTGTAAAAGAAAGCGCCCACCAAGCAGAAGTTTTCCATGGCTTAAAAACCTTTAAACAATAATAAATAGTCAGAATTCCCTCCCTGTCCTCTATTTATGCAATTTATGTTCCTTTACAATATGAAAATACTAAAACAAAAAAGGTAGCTTGGTAATGTTGTAAGAATACGTTTACACTCATTCTTATGCATACATGTTTACAGATATAAATAATTCTTGTCAGTGTCAAAATCTGGCAGTATACTAAAGAACGATGCAGAATCGTAGCGAAAACGTTAATAATATTGAAGGAAAATTTCAATTTGAAAACAAGTTACATTATACAAAGTATATTATGTATTTTTTATTTACAATAAATTATTAAAGCTAGAGTTCAATGCAAAATGGCAGAAAGAAAAAAAAACTAATAAATCTGACATTTTACTTGAATCCAAGTAATGAACCAGCATCAGTCTAATTTTTACTAGCTTTCACAATTGATCACAAGAGGAAACAAACACAAAAATTGTACAAGACAACATATTAGAAATAAAACACCAAAGGATGGCCACAAATGTTTCGTGTTTAAGTCGTATTTCTTTAATTTGCACCAATTTTCCCCTTGCTGTTCAAAGTATTTGAATGAGCTTCAAAGCCCACATTAAATTGTAATAAAGCAGTGTAACAAAGCAGTGTAAAACATTCACGTACACAAATAATGAAGAAATATATAAGATACTGCAATTCTGTGTTTATGAAGGTGAAAATGTTGGTACATAACGCACTCTAAATGGGAGTTTTAACAGATAATGTATTAAAGTTATTTGGTGACAGAAGTGTACTAAATGATTAATTATAGTTAAAGATGATAAAAACTTTCACGAAGTGTGCTGTCTTCGTCAGCAAAGTTTTCACAATCCTTTCTGTTGTCACAGAGTTTGCTGGCCTCAATATACAAGGACCCGTTTTTGTAGCAGTCAAATCTGTCAGCTGGACAGTGACTTACTGGTGGAGCTAAATGAAAGGAGATATGAGAAAATTGTTTCTGTATTTGTGATACTTTAAAGATAAAATAAGAAACTTACGACAACCAGCTTCATCAGATCCATCTATACAATCCATATAGCCATTACACTTGAGAGAGTGATAGATGCAGTCACTGTTTTTGCATTTAAATTGATTTGGTTTGCATGTGGCTGTGCCTTTTAAAAAGAGAAATGATCTATTAAAGTTTTTATTTCTGTGTTATCTTTTTATTATCGTTAATGCTATTAAAAATCATCTTTCAAAATACATTTGAATTAAGGATTCATGTTAAGATTTTATCTTTTGCGATGTCACTGAAGCGATAATTAATAATGTTGAAAGTGTTGCAGATATTTACATGTCATAAATTAAAAAAAACACACTCAACTGGTCATGGCTGCAAACTATTTATACAAAGGTGCAGACTGTATGTAGTTTGTTCTTGCTGCCTTTATTTTTTACCTTTTAAAATTTCTTTGTTAAAGACCTTCCAAACTCTATTGCTCTTTAAAAATTGTTAAATGAATTTTCTGAATGTGGTAATGTATATTTGTGGCAATTTTTTTTGTAATTTCCAATATTAAACATGTAAAGATTAAACATGGATCATTTCCGGTAGGAACCAGTAAAAGAAGATTACTGCTTACAGCAGTTGCACTTATGATCAAGTTATTAAAGGAAATATAAAAAAATTCATTAGATATGTAGTAATATACAAATACATGTATTTAGGGTACATTATAAACAAGAGGCCCATGGGCCACAACGCTCACCTGAGACTTTTAAAGATTTTTCCTATTAGATATATTTCAATGTAAAACTTGGATTCCCTAATGTGGCCCCACCCTACCCCCAGGGGTCATGATTTGAATAATTTAGAATCTGCACTACCCTAGGATGCTTCCACATAAGTTTTCCAGCTTTTCTGGCTCATTGGATCTTGAGAAGAAGACTTTTTAATGATCCCACCCTATTTTTGTCTTTTTTTGATTATCTCCCCTTGGTCCAGTGGTTCTTGAGAAGAAGTTGAAAATGAGAAAAGTTTACAGACGGACGGACGTACAGACGGAAAAACAGCTAGACGAATGACGGAAAACGGGTGATCAGAAAAGGTCACTTGAGCTTTCAGCTCAGGTGAGCTAACAACAGATCAACTGTGAAGTATTATCTCAGAACAAAAATACATGTACTACAACAATTATTATATATATATTAACTAAATAGCATGTAATCTGTTTTCATAAAAAGGGGACATGCATGTGGTGCACCTTTTACGTTTGTGACTTTTAATACGCAATGAATGCACCAAGTGGTGGTCTTTAAATACAGTAATCTCAAGAATCAAACTAACATTGCAATTCATCTGATCCATCCAAACAGTCCTCGTCCCCGTCACATTTCCACGATTTGTGAATGCACTGTTTACCAGAGTTGCACTCCCATTCTGTGATCTCTGAACAAATAGATACATTTTTGGTTGGACAATTTGTTTCATCGCTTTGGTCTTTACAATCAGCACCACCATCACACTGCCATAACTTGTCAATACATTTCTTGTCTGAACACTGAAACTCATCAGCAGTGCAAGTTACAGCATCTATCACAAGAAAGAAAAAAATAAATTATTTACTTATATCAATTTAAGCATATTCTACAATTTTTACATGATTTGATAAAAAAAGAAGAAAATACATACGACATAGTTTTTCATCGCTGTTGTCACCGCAGTCATCATCTCCATCACACTTCCATTTGTTGTTTACACACTTAGAGTTGTCACATCTGAATTCATCGCTAACACAGGTAGGGGAATCACAAGTCTCATCCTCACCATTAGAACAGTCTGGAGAACCATCACAACGCCATCTAGCTGGGATACACTCTCCATTTCCACAACTAAACTGGTCTTTATGACATGTTTTATTTCCTGCAAATAAACATGATTTTTTTAACAGGAATCATCTTGTAATCTTTCAATGACAAAACTATGGACTCAAAGCATCTTCATTAATATAATTAAAATCTTAATTTATTTAAAAAAAAGAAAATATTATGAGATATTAACTTACTGCAAATGTCAGTTTCATCAGATCCATCCAGACAATCTGTTTCATTGTCACAAGTCCACCTCATTGGCACACAGTGACCAGATCTACATGTAAATTCATCTTCTGGACATGTCTTGGAAGCTACATTGCAATTTTATAGACTCAGTAAATATACAGAATAACCAAATATAAATTGGTTATAAATACAAACTTATAATACATAATATTACAGAATTTGTTGCACATTGAATATTCCTGTTTTATTGTCCTCCTCACTAGCATATAATTTTATTTAAACTCGTAAGAAAATTGCCCCAAAATCAATATTAATTTCTATACTTTTAAAAAATCATTCATCATGAAAAAATTAAAGACCAGATTTTTAATATCATAAACAATTATTTTTTCGATAAATATGAAACTCAGAAAATGTCATGTCTTGGGACTGGTCATTTACTAAGTTACTTTGTTAAAAACCCTTCTGATTCTACACATAACTACTCTGAATCGGATTTAAAAAGATGATGGAGTTCCTCATTGACTGTGAAATAGGTGAAGACAGTAAACAATGATCTCTCTAATAAAATCCTTAAACAATTCAAATTTTGAACAGCGCAAAATATACTGCCCCTTGAAACACAAGAGATGGGATCAGGTGCCTAGGAGTAAACATCCCCTGTCGACCGGACACACAGGTCGTGAGTCATTTCTATTAATCACATAAACGGAGTAATCCATAGTTAAAATCAGTATTTAAAATATGGTCTAACAATAGGTATTAAACATGTCAGTGTAGTCTTTTTGATATTGTGTCTTCCATCACTCTGTTGGAATTTCGATGGGCTCCAAGCTAGCCTACTTGTTTTTTTTTTATTATTATTATTTTCTTATAAAAAAATGATTCATTCAAATACTTCTTCATGAAAAGAAAACTCTTGCCTTGGCCTTCAAATCTTTTAGATATATTGATGACGTTTTATCATTTTACAATAGCTATTTTCATTCATACATCGATTTGATATATCTCAGTGAACTCAAAATAACAGGCACCACAGAGTACCACAAATATTTCATAACGGGTGTTTTCTGACTATAGACGTTCATGGCTACCTTGCAACTAAACTTTATGACAAATGTGATGACTTCAGCCTTTCCAACTTTTTATGCAGTTATGTCATAAAAACTACTGCATATGGTGTTCGTCTCCCAACTGATTCGGTACGCAATGGAATGATCCAAGTACGATCAATATTGTACCAATGCAAGCTAATGAACATAGGCGTCGGAAGCAAATTGAAAGTGGGGGGGGGGGGGCTAAACCAACAAAAAAGGTAAGCCCCAATTTTTAATGCCTACATTATGTCTATCTTTGCAAAAAAAGTGTGGGGGGGGGAGCTAAGCCCCCCCTAGCCCCTCCGGTTCCGACGCCTATGGTGAAATTTAAGTTGATGCTACGGGGCTTTTAACAATCTCTTTTATAGTCAGCATTTTGCAAATTCAACTTTGGATTTAAATAATGTCCTTATTTGCAGGTACAATCTTTCGTTGGGTCGTAATTGAATGACATGTTTCATACCAATTGTCAGGCCACTGTTTATACACCAATTTTGAATACAGATACTCTGTTTACCTGATCAGAAAAGAGGACTCATTGCCGGTGTAACCGGTCAATAGGGGATTATTACTCCTACTTTTCACCTGCACCTGATCCTAACTCTGAAATCTAGACACAACCTGAAAGGCAGATATACCACATCGGTCATTCGGACAATTGGAACCTGAGTGGACATAAAAAGCCGGTCAAAAAACATAATAACGTTTTGAATTGAGTGTCTCCTTAAAGATCGCAGATGGTGGTAACAACAGAAATCAATTATCGTCTTGGATTTTAATTTGCTTTCTTCACTTTAATTTGGAGCAATTAGATTTGCAAATAGATGATAAATCGTCAAGAAGGTTTTGTTATCTGAAATTTCAGAAAAAATATATGAATCTAACTTTAGTCCCTGAAAAAGAGTGCCAGAACGAGAGATTGTTACAATTAATGTACCTCCCATAGTCTAAACTATATCATCCATTCAAAAATAGACTCATCTATGTTTTTGAAAAAAAAAAAAAAAACGGGTGCGTAAAATTGGTCAATAAGGACCGTGAGTAACTTAAATTTAAGGTCAGACCGATACGTTCCACAAATATATGTTTGGTATTTCTTCATAACATAAAAAATATTCAAAATTATCAATACCTTGTTATTTCTAAACTGTTTATAATTGTCTTCAAAAAGATCAATATGGTACCGAAAATTGCAATATTGGCAATCCATGTTATTTCCAATTAGTAGGATTAAAGGATTATACAGAAAACACTACCCTCTGGTATCTTGCACAAATGCCTGGTAAAGGTACCTAAAATATTTGCTAGTAAACATCTAAAACTAGCAAAACTTAAATGACAAAATCATGAAATATATGGAGAAAACGAACAGTATTCAAGCTCAGAAGTCCATTAAACAATACAAATTTTGAAGCAGAGCAAACACGAACCTCTAAAGCATCAGAGGTGGGATCAGGTGCAATGGAAGAGTGAGCATTCCCTGCCCACCGGTCACACCCGCCGTGTGCTCCTTGTCATGATCGGGAAATAACGTAAAAAACCGTCAACAATTCAGTGTGTAAATAATGACCTAACAATTAGTATGAAAAACGTCAGTCAGCATTTGACTCAATGATAAATTGTATTTGCTGACGAGGTCATTGTATCGACCATAGAACTTACGAAATGACGACTTTAAACGAGACTGCTGATATTCTTGTTTCATCAACTTGCTTGTCAATAACTTACCTTGTTTTAGAAATTGTTTATGCTCTTGCGTTTCGAATCATCTTAGAGATGTAAACCCCGTATGTAGGTGATGAAGGTATTTTGCTGCATAAGTAAGGGAAGTTGACGAGTCATCACGTTTATCATAAAAGTTAGTTGTTAGATTACCATTAACGTCTTTTTCTAGTAAAATATCCGAATATGAAACAGGTGTGTCAGACTCTGTGGTATCTTTTATTTCAAGCTCACCGGGATATATCATATCGAAATAAGAATGGAAATAACCATTGTTAATTGGACTTTTGCGAGAAGCGCTGACTTTTACAATCGACAACTTACTTTTACACTAGGAAAATATATGGAAGCTCTTTTGTGATATAAATATTTAGCTTAACATTTACTAAATCGATAATAATCGGCCATTTCAAAGCCCATATTACGTTGTCTAGGAAGGGAAAAGCAATTGACATACAAACAACCCCCTCCCTTCCCAACTTAACCAACTCCTGCCTAGTTTTCCTTCCGGAATGTTTTTCTTCATTATTTAGTTCCTGAAGAAAATGAAAATAAAAGGAGATATTATCTCTCATAAATAAGGCATTTTAAGTAATTTTATTCTTCCTCCAATAATTTCTGGTGTTGGTAAATGATGTAAGTGCCCCTAATACCATAACTTTAACCATTATTTATGTTTTCTTATCTATTATCAATTCCGTACCTCCGTACATAACGCAGGTTTAAATGTCAAAGTAAGCCGTCAGCTGTAAAAGTCAGTGTTTTCGCAAAAGTCCATTGACAATACGTCGTCGATAGATCTAAATGTCGAGTTAAAGGCCACAGAAAGTTTCATTCTTTTCACGTATAAGATTTTGAACAAACTCTGCTTCATATGAATACAAAAATAGGTCTGCTATTAACGGGGCGCAATTGGTACAAATGGGAATTCCAATAGATTGTTGGAAGACCTGGTCTCCAAAAACCACATAGATATTGTCAATCAGAAACTCAAGTATCTTTTTAATATCAACTTCAGAGTACTTGTGTGTACAATCAGAATGTTTTTTAACAAAATAATTTTGCAAATGACCAAGGTAAGTCAATTTAAAAGTAACAAAACTTCAATGACAAAATCTTGGGGGAAAATTATATATTTTTAAGGAACGTATAGTCTGACCCTAAGTAAAAGATAATATGAACTCAATTTGTTGAACAAATCGTATGCAAGGGTGAGTCAGGGATTAAGTATGAAGACGCCTGACAAAGAATTTTTCGACGTTTGCCAGAAAAGAAAAGTAAATTCAACTTATCTCCTTAAAGCTGAAGACAACTCGTAAATAGGCATACGCCATATAAAATTTCCCATATCTTATATCTGCACTGGGGTATACTAACCATTCGCATTCGTTACACCTGATTGCTTTTACCTTGTCACTGTTGCGAGTAGTACATGTGTGTCTTACATTGTCCTTTTTATTACGTTTTATTTCAATGAACGTGCATTTTTGTTTATTTCACATTTACCTGTGCTATTGATATTGAAAATATTTGGTCACTTTTTTGGCAGAAGCAAACAGAAGTCATGTTTGTTGCAACCATGTAAAACACAATGACAATGAAGGAGAAATCCTTTCATGTGAAGTCCGTGAGGCAAAATACATTGAACTCTGTACCAAGCCGAGGCTTATATAGCAGCTTGATATCGACGGTCTTGAGAAATCTAATATGGCGGACAAAGATAACTCTTCATGTAAGAGACTTAGAGATATTCCAGAAGAAATTCAAAATGACTCTAATTACAACATTTCCTATGAATTCGGCAGCGGAATGTGGCTCTCCAAACATGAAAGAAAAATACATGTATGTGATTTTTAATATATATATATATATATATATATATATATATATATATATATATATATATATATATTATATTATATTATATTATATTATATTATATTATATTATATTATATTATATTATATTATATTTTTATGGATAAAAATAATTTTAAAACAATTATTCAAACAAACTGATTTTAGGTAGCGAAAATTTTAAGGCATTTGGTTAAGCTGTTCTCAGTTCCCGAGTTTATACGCATTGGCAAAAATGTTAGAAATAGCGAGAAAAAATGCGAATTGAATAAGTATTTGCGTAAATGATATTGAAACAACTTCAAACTTAACAAGTTAGTTTAAAGACTTGATACTGGATGCGTTAAGGTGGTTTAATTAAGTTTGGACATTAAGCCACCATTAAGCTGCAGCTTAAAGGTGGCTTAATGGTAGCTTAATGAAGTTTGGACATTAAGCACCTAGAAGCTG